AAGCAGAGCCACAGGTGTATGAAAACCGAACTCATGGCAGAGATGATGATGTGGATCAATGGAGAAAGAACGGACTTCAGATACCATAATAACTGGTTATTTCTAGGGAGAAAAATGAAAGTAACTCCTACCCCACACCATATATAAAAACCAATCCAGGTATTTTTTAAAGATCAGTAAAAGTATATGCTTTTAGAAGACAATATAAAACATTTTTCTGATGTGTTTCTTAAATCACAAAAATGTCAAATAAAGAAAATTATAAATTCAAGTACATCAAAATTAAGAACTTTACATCATCCAAAGATAACAGAAAAAATAAAAAGGCTAACACTCAAAAAACTTTTATCTATATATTGAAAAGTTTTATACACACACACAACTGTATATATGACTCTTACCGAGACAATAAAATTTTTCTATGAATGACATTAATACTGAAAAATAATTTTTAAGAAATTACACAGAGCAAGTGCAAAATATTTACCTCATTAGTAGTCAGAGAAATGCAAACACCACAACAAAATTTTATTCTATATTATTAAGTTAGAAAAAACGTTAAAATGTTAATCTTAGCAAGTGTTGGTGTGGATGTGAATCAGTTTGAAGTCTCATATACTGTCTGGGGAGTGTTAATTTGGAAATCAGTTTTGGATTCCTTGCTGAAGTTGGCCGTATGGAAATCTTAAGGCCAAGAACTCCTAACGTGTGCATGAGAAATGGTGTTCATGAATTTTTGCAATTGCATTGTTCATAAAGGAAAAAAATCTAAATGTCCATCAGGGTGGAAAAAATAAAAAACTCTGGTATATTTGTGCAATAAAATGTTGCACAGCAGTGAGGATGAACAAACTGTCGCTACCACAGGACAATGACTAAATCTTCAACTCCTAACACTGTGACAGCAGTGAGTCTCAGAAGAATGCCTAGGTATGATTATAGTCATATGAGGTTTAGAAACAACGATGACCAGCCGGGCGCGGTGGCTCAAGCCTGTAATCCCAGCAGTTTGGGAGGCCGAGGTGGGTGGATCACGAGGTCGAGAGATCGAGACCATCCTGGTCAACATGGTGAAACCCCATCTCTGCTAAAAATACAAATAATTAGCCGGGCATGATGGCGTGTGCCTGTAATCCCAGCTACTCAGGAGGCTGAGGCAGGAGAATTGCCTGAACCCAGGAGGCGGAGGTTGCGGTGAGCCGAGATCGCGCCATTGCACTCCAACCTGGGTAACAAGAGCGAAACTCCGGCTCAAAATAAAAATAAAAATAAAAATAAAAACAATGACCAAAAGATAGTTAATTTATTAATACATAATAGGTGGTTAAAAAGAAAAATAAACTCTCCAGAAAACAAAGAGAATGATTGACACACAGTTCTTTTGCCAATAGCTGGTGGGAAGGGTGGGAAGAGATGGGAGCCGGTGAAGACGATTTTGATGATACTCCATCCCTGGCCTGGAAGGTGTTTTCACAGTTCACTCATTGTAATGCTTGGAAAGTGTCTACATACATTTCATGTAATTATACATTTTATGTTCACTAAATGCATACTCTATTTAACAGCAGTTTAGGGAGAACATAACCTTAACTTGAGACAATGCTGTGACGTGATGGAATATAACAGTGGGAATTCATTTGACATTATCTGTCTCTACTAAAAATACAAAATTTAGCCAGGTGTGGTGGCATGCACCTGTAATCCCAGCTACTCCGGAGGCTGGGAACATTTGCACTCATTCCATGTTAGTGGCATTCCCTTCTGTTCAGGGCTACTCAGACTGCCTTGTTCTTTAGCGACTAATATTTATATTGTCACAATATTGCAAGTTCTCATTATTAGTTTATAATTTTTACTTGACCTATAGGCAAGACCAAAAATTAAATTAACTAAATTAATATTAAGGAGGATGACTCAATAATTACTGAACAGAATATAAACATTTTCAATCTTGGCGATATAAAAGGAAAGATACAGCTGTGAGCTGGGTGGTGGGAGGGAAGGATAGATGAGTGAGTTTCCTCATTTTACATGTTATAAAAGAAAAGATACTGTCAGAAGGTGATTAATCACAAAAAATAAGATTAAATGTATTTAAAGTTACAAATACCCACCAGAGTACTAAAAGTAATAACAGAACTAAGAAAAATTACAAGGAGAGGGGAGGGGGGAAAATATTAAATACCTTGCCTCTTGTCTTTCATATCAGAAGTCATTAGGCACTCTCTAAAGTTGAGATATCTAGAAATAAAAACACATCAGCTGGGTGCAGTACCTCACACCTGTAATCCCAGCACTTTTGAGACGCCAAGAAGGGGAGACTCATACTGAGCATCTAACGTATGTTAGGCACTGTGGAAGGCCCAGGCAGACAAATATGGACTGTCAAATTGAAAGTGTGTAATACACATAGATACATAGATTTTACACATATTTACCTATATACCTATGCATTTGCATATATAGTTATTTCTTGGGCTCATTTTTTCCCCTCTTCCTCTCTGTAATTATATTTCCACATGTAAAATGGCTTCACTGCACCCAAGCCAGTCTCTTATGTCCAGCTTATTAATGACCAACGCAGGTTCCCTCCCAAAGAGACAAGTGTGGTATCCATCATGAAAACAGCTGACACAAACAGGAGGACCTTGGACAGCCCTCTTTGGGTAGAGATCGGGGTGGAAAACATCTCCTGAGCATCCAACTAAAAAAAAACAAAATTGTACATATGTTCTAGAATGTTCCAGCTTACATTCATCATTTTCCTTTGGGTCCTAACAAAGAGGTCATATTTCCAATGGTGTATACACTTTAAACATTTCAAGTTAAGTTCAGAAAGTGCATCACCACATGTTGGGGGAAATTTTGTGTTTTATTCTTTCTGAAGGATAAAAATATCCAAACAATGCCTTCGTTTTTATTTTCAATTTCCTGTCGTCTGACATAAATTGTTTGGGAATTTTACCGTTGCCTGCTCCTTCCAAGCCTGCTGTTTTACATCCTTCATTAAGATGGGATGTGGTGACTACTGGAGGCTACTGACGAGGGAAAGTAACCACTTCCACCAAAGTCAAGGAGGTTGGGGGAAAGGATCCATATATTTGAGAAAAATATACTTCCATTTAGTTTTGTCTTATGTAATGCAGGTGTGGTAACTCTCTATTTTAGAATTATGGGAGGGATTGTGGTTAGTCCATGGGAAAACAAAATGTTTCTGCAAAGTACTAAATTATTTTCCAGCACTGAAGCCAGTTGAACAGGACTTACTTGCCTCCTAAATGAGCACACCACAGACCTTGCCTGGAAGACAAAATAGATAAGAATGAACTTTACAGCAAGTTTATTAATTTGCTACTTTAGCCTTTATTCCAACATGGTGTTATATGTATTGAGGCCCTGTCTAATCCATGTTTGTTATCAAGGCAGTTAAAACAGATTTTGTGACTTTTTTATTTTTCCCCTCATCTGACCAGCTTTTAGCCCAAGTCCCTTTGGGCACTGGGTAACACAGGGTTATGACTGAGATCGATGTACAAACCATAGAAACTGTGTGTTCGTTTCCTGTTTGTTCTTATAAGAAAAAGAAAAGAAAACAAAGTTTGCTTTTGAGTTTCGTTTGGGCAGTGCCTTCAGGATATGTTCATATGTAATTTAGGGAGTCATTCCTGGGACTAAATGACCACAAGCTAACTGTTGACAGCTGAAAAAAGGGGTATGGCACAATGCGTGGGCCCGAGACCTGGGCAGTAGACCAAGATATTCTAGAGATCTCCAGGCCTGACTTGAAAGAGCACAGCAAAGCAAGTTACCGGCACAGACCTATTTCCTGCAAGTCACAGCCTTCTCTGGGGTGTATTAGCTCTGCACAACCATCAGGAAACACACAAGCTGACATGCTCAGTTATGAGTGACTTCTCCTTCCATCTACAAGTCTTAAAGAAATACAAAGAAACTCCTTAGAACATGGGGATGCATGGTTCAAACCACCAGATGATTAAGGATTCGGAATTACGTTATACCTACTGCAAACTACAAGAAGTGAACTGGTTCTAAGCTCCCCCAACTACGTACAGCTCGTTAGTTCCTCAGTGATCACAGCCCACAGAAGCATGTCTTTAGCCTTTCAGATGGTCAGAAAGGATTTCTGGTTTACATCTCATTCTTCTTTAAGTTAGGGACCCCAAAACCTGCGACCAGGGCTCTCCATGGGATATAAAACAGGGGGATCTTGGAATCTACAGTGCAACCTCAGCGTTTTGTAAAAATTCTCTCCTCCTGGCCAGGTCCAGTGGTTCACACCTATAATCCCAGTACTTTGGAATGCCAAGGCACGCAGATCACTTGAGGTCAGGAAATCGAGACCAGCCTGGGCAAGATGGTGCAAAACCCTGTCTCTACTAAAAATATAAAAATTAGCTGGGTGTGGTGGCAGGCGCCTATGGCTCCAGCTACTCAGGAGGCTGAGGCAAGAGAATCACTTGAACCTGGGAGGCAGAGGTTGCGGTGAGCTGAGATTGCACCACTGCACTCCAGCCTGGGTGACAGAGCAAGTCTCCATCTCAAAAAAAATATTATCCTCCAAGTTCTGATTCAATCTGACCTGGTTTGGCTTGTGTTAGCGGAAGCAATCAAAGTTCAAAGTGCCTTGAATATAGAATACCAATGAATTTATTTCCTGAAATTTTCTGTAAAGTGAAGTGGAAGGAAACAGGTTCCATCTGTAAGATATTCATCTTCTGGCAAGGTCTCCACTCCAAGCCTCTGGTTGTTTGCAAATAGCTCTTTAGTACCTACTCACAGATCTGTGCCTGGGCAATTGCATTGCAGAGAAGAAATTATTTTGCAAATTCGGTTCTCATACAATAAAAGATGTTTTAAAAGCCTCCTGCTACACATTTTGAAAGATTGTTAATAGGAGCATGGAAATGTATTTAATCTCTCTTAAATCTTAAAGACTGTAAGATTCATATGTCGGTATTTTTTTCTCCTTCTTTTTTAAGAGAAAGGTGATGCAGAGCCAGAGAGTCCAGACAATGGCACGTCGAATACATCGTAAGTCTCTTCCGTTTTTCTATCAGAGATGCCTGCTCTTAAATATGCCTTATAAAATGAGATAGTGTGAGTATCTTGTAATAGTATTAATGATGATGGAAGGAAGCCCATGGTTCTCTTTTCTCATGATAATGTCTCTTTAAATGCTTTGGGTGCAGATGCATTTTGAGGTCTTTTTTGTGCTTTAGCAGAGTAAGAGGAATATTGAAAAATGCAAATGCTTCTCTTTATGAAGTAGAAATGTAATGAGATTTGAGCATGTATGCTGCGGGGATTTGGTTGGAGACTTTCCACAGCATCTTAAGAATTGCAGAACTTTTCACACTTAAACTGGGAGGTATGCTGTTCCACACAGCTGTGCAGTAACAAGGTCATTTCAGAAGCTTGCCATCTGCAACCTCACCTTGGAATTATGTGAAAAGTACAATTATAGATATCTCTGGAATCTCAAGAGTTTGTTGGCATTTTTGAATTAACAAAAGCAGTTTTAAAAAGATAAGCGAAGGCCCTTATAAAACATGTGCTTCTCACTCTGTGTTTTGTCTGTTTCTTCTCAATATTCAAGAAATCTAAGTATATTTTTACTGATTAATTTGATGCCAAATTGATATACCAACATTTAAATTAAAAAATTCATGAGCTAGCAAGTGAGTTTATTTTAGCTCCGTAAGAGTTGGTAACAGATTTGTTCCTTAAAAATCTTTATTTGTATCACTTATGAGCAGTGACATGTGTTTTTGTATTATGACAGGCTTTGTGAATTTATCTGTATTACTAAGCATTTTCTAAGTACCGTTGATTAGAAATCACTTTGTGGTAAAATATTGCGTGTCTTATTTTGTCTAAAATCTGTTTCTTAGTCTAGAAAGATTTTCTGGCTTGAAAAGGAGAGCTATATATTTTATAAGAGATATGATTATATGTTTGTCTTTCTTAAGATACTTCCCTAAATGTTCTGAATAGTTCCATTGTCCTGCTCTCAGGTAATATAATGAATGTGGCTGGTCTTAAATGGTTAAAATACTACTAATTTTTTATTTTTTTGTGTGTTGTAAAATATAATGGGAAAGGCTTTTAATGCCATCTGGAGGCATTCTAGAGAACTGAAAAGGGTAGAATCATTGACAATTCCATTATATTGAGTAAAACTTGAAACTGCATAAAAATTCATGCAACCAGGATGTAAGCTGTTTGGGGGAAGTTGTATTTTCTAATAGATTATTTCATAAAAGGTTTAATTATTATAGAAACAATTTTTTTCAAATTCTAAGTAATCAAATTATTTTAAAGATAGGCAATGGAATATATGAAGTATGTTGGAAAGTGACTAGCATCCTACATTTAATTTTACATATTTTAAAATCACATTCAGTAGGCACCCGTTTTGTTAAGGCAGTTTGATATGCTTTTAAAGTTCTCCTTCCCTTATGTATTTCTAAAACATCTGTTCCCGGCTGGGCTCAGTAATCCCAACACTTTGTGAGGCTGACACGGGTGGATCATTTGAGGCCAGGAGTTTGAGACCAGCCAGGCCAATGTGGCAAAACCTCATCTCTACTAAAAATACAAAAGCTAGCCGGGTGTGGTGGCACACCCCTGTAATCCCAGCTATGCGGGAGGCTGAGGCACAAGAATGGCTTAAACCCAAGATCATGCCACTGTACTCCAGTCTGGGTGACAGAGTGAGACCCTGTCTCAAAAATAATAGAAAAATAAAAAGTTTATTCCCTAAAAGCATTGGCTTGCTTTACTCTGTACCTTACTTCTTACAACATCTATGAAAAATACATAAGTTGTCTGAGGAATTACTTTAAAACCCTCTGGAAATATAAAAACAATAGGAGCTAGAAGCATCACCCCATATTACTGCCTCTTTGAGCAAAGCAGTTTCTTAGGCACCTGCGTCTTAAACTAGAAACAACAGGTTGCAGCCATCTCTCTTAAAAGTGGAGAATTCTGAACTTGAAACCGCTCTAGAGACCTCTAAAAGAGGTTCTGTTATAATTGGGTATGAGGTGCAGTACGTTACAGATGAACAGTGAGATTCAGGATGCCTTTGATTTGTGTAGCATTTTACATTCTTACATGCAGTGTCTATTTGAGCTTTTTTAGGTAGGTAGAGTAGAGACAATATCCCCATGTTATGGATAAGGAATCTGAGGACCAGAAAGGTCATTCCAGGCCAGGCGTGGTAGTTCACACTGGTAATCCCAGCATTTTGGGAGGCTGCCAAAGTGAATGGATCACTTGAGGTCAGGAGTTTGAAACCAGCCTGGCCAACATGGCAAAAACCCATCTCTATAAAAATACAAAAATTAGTTGGGTATAGTGGAATGTGCCTGTAAACCCAGCTACTCAGGAGGCTGAGCAGGAGAATCACTTGAATCTGGGAGGCATAGGTTGCAGTGAGCCAAAATCGTGCCACTATACTTCAACCTAGGCAACAGAGTGAGATTCTGCCTCAAAAAAAATAAATAAAAGTCAATTCCATTTAAGTAAGGAGTTAGAGCATGAACTTTCTGATTTTTGCCCATTTTCCATACTGAAGAGGGTGTGGGTCTCAAGAGACAAAGCAAAGCCATGAGTCACAATCAAGTATAAAAATTGGGAGGAGAGGATTTGTTAAGAAGTAAGCATATTAGTTTGGTAGGGCTGCTGGAACAAAGCATCAGCAAGTAAGTGGCAAAAGTAACAAATTTATTTTCTCATGGTTCTGGAGGCTGGAAGTCCCAGTCAGTTTGTCAGCAGGGTTGGTTGCTTCTGGAAGATATAAAGAGAGGCGCTGTCCCAGGCCTCTCTCCTTTGCTTGTAGGTGACTGTCTCCTCCCTACGTGTCCTCATGTCATCATCTCTCTGTGCATGTCTATCTCTCTGTCCGTTTATATAAGGTCAGCAGTCATATTGAATTAGGGCTCACTCTAATGACCTCATTTTAACTTGATTAACTCTGTAAAGACCCTGTCTCTAAATAAGGTCACATTCTGAGGCACTGAAGTTAGGATTTGAACATATGAATTTTGGGAAGAAATAGTTTGGCCCATAACATTAAGGGGCAGAGTATCAGAATGATTCTAAAGCCAGGTAAACAGAACCAGGGGCACACAGATTTCTGAAAATGGGAAAAGGGGAGACAGCCTAAATAAAACATGAAACATGATGGGCTCCATGGCTGCTGAAGGAGTGGAGCAGAGAAAGAAAATGGAGCTAGCAAGCACGGGACACTAGGAAAGATGCCTTTTCCGTATTCATGGTGTGGTGGAACCGGCATGGCTTCAGTAAGGCCTGTACATCCCTCTGTCTGTATGACTCTATGACCCTGAGTCACTAAAGCCATTATATGGGCTTAAATTCTAATACAAGGTCGGGAGTCTCCAAACAGAAGAGCTTATTTCCTAAGGAAATATCTTTCTTCATGGCCTCCTTTAAAAACAGAAGATCAATCATGATTGGCTTCAGATGGTCAATGACTGGCAGTACAACATAGTCTGGACAACACCTGAGGAACCCTTCAGAATGTATTATTTAATGATCCTATGAACATTCAGGAAGATGAAAGTGATTTAATCTTAACATGTAAGTACACATGAAAACATAAATTAAAATGTCTGTGACAGACTTCCAGTTAATATTAATGACGGAAGAACTTATCTTAGACTAACTCTCTTGCAGATAGCTGTTATGAACTCTGGACAAAATACTTTTGTTAAAAAAGCTATTTGTAATCTAACTAAAAGAAGGCAGAGAATGTAGGAAATTTGATCCTTGAGAGGGTCACTGGACTGAGGGAGAACTACATTTCTATAGCTTCTCCTATGAGGGCATGCCCCGGTCCACAAAGAACTATTAGACCTCAAGGAGAAAGCCACAGCTGCAATGGCCTGAGGTCTCAGGGGATAGAGTTCAGGGCTTCTGGAGTGGCTGAAAATTGACTAAGTCACAGAAAGAAAAGAGCCATAAAGAAGAGAGCCCTCCATTCTGTATACACATTTCCGTTAATCCTTGAATAACCCATAAACTGCATATGTGTGGGGAGTATGCCAATGAGCCTAGTGGAAAACAATAAATAGAAAGCCAAAAATGCTGAGCAGAGATTTCAGCAGCTGCCTACTGCTGACAGCTACTGCCTACAAAGTTCAGAATTTGAATCCCACCCAAGTTACAGGGGCTTGGTAAATGCTGCAGATTTTCTGTTGAAACCCCAGAAGGTTGTGCCTTCAAAGGAGTCACACTAGCATTAAGGGCAAAACCAAAACAGATTCTTCCTAACAAAGTATAACACTTAGTATCCACAAGTTCAAGCTAATCAGCTAAAAATTTTGTAGCCTGATAGAACAATAACAACAAAAAAAATCAACACTGTTTAAAAGAAGAAAAGAGAATTTAGAATCTCTAAAACATAAAATTTGCAATGTTCACTAATCAAAAATTTGTTTAAATGAGTAGGAAAATGTGATCCATAATCAAGAGAAAAAATAGCCACTGTAATAGACCCTGAGGTGACCTAGATATTAGAATTTTCAGACAGGAATTCTAAAGCAATTACTCTAACATGTCCAAGGATATAAAGGAAAACATAGTCATCATGACTGAAAAGAAGGAGAATCTCAGCAGGGTAATGGAAACCTATAAGGATAACCAGATAAATGCTTTGGAACTGAAAAATGTAACATTTGAAATAAATGAACAGTAGAAACTACACAATAATTAGTAAACTTAAACTCATATCAGTAAGAATTGTTCAATGTGAAAAACAGAATAAAGATTAAAAACCAATCAACAGAGCCTGAGTGAATTATAGGAAAATATCAAGCAGTCTGATATACATGCATTGTGGTGCCAGAAGGAGAGAAGAGAAAAAATAGACCCTAAAAAATATCTGAAGGAATAATAGCATAAAAATTCCCAAATTGGATGAAAACATTAATTTGTAGATTCAATAAGCTCAACAAGCTGCAAGCAGGATAAACACAAATCAAACTACACTGTGGAACATTATGGAA